TTTAGACAGTATCACAATTCAAGCAAATAATAATGATAGTATAGAGATTGAAAAGGGTGAATAAATAGGCAGTAGAGGTTTAGCCTGTCAAAGGTACAACCTCCCTCTTAAGGAGTACAATTCCAGGTTCAGGAGGCATTGATATTATCAGAGCTGCTGTTCAGCTTATGCCTGATCCCGTCGCTCTTTGGTAACTAAATTTCAGGCTGGTCTTCCTTAAATGACAGATGTAACATATACGACACAGATACCAGTACCTATTCATCACTCAGAAAAAAAGTACAAAAATGAATGAATGGAAATTACAAGAATTTCCCTCAGCGTGCTAACAATATCAAGCATTATGTCTGTTTTGGAGACAAACATAATTGTTCAAGACCACAAAGGAAGCCTGTGTTAAATGAAGGATAAGAAAACACGTTCTTATCTCTCATCTCTTTGTTCAGACCATTAAGCCTCTCTTTCTCCCAAATAAGCAGGATATTCTCTGCGTTTATATCGTGATCATAAAGTAATTTTCTTGCTGGGAACACAGAGCACATGGAAGCACTACTTCAATATATGTGACACTTGGCAGTAAATCCCTACCATTATTTTTTATTTCTGTTGATATTAATATAAAGCCTTTTTCTTTAATCTTTTAATCTTTTTCAGTTACCTCCTGATTTCCTTCTTTACATTGAAGTTGTGGCACCATAGAGACAGCATATCTTCACTGCAGATTTAAGTATGAGGAAAAGACAGAGACTATGAGAGAAGAGGGTTGTGAGTTTTTTTGTTAAATACAGAGGTTTGAATGAACATGGAAAATGTTGTGAAAAAGAACACTAAGTGGATTAATGTTTCAACTAAATTTTCTTTCAAGGTTTTCTCCAACAGGAATGACAAACAGATTTTGGTTATCATTTCAATTTTGCTTAAGCAACAGACAAAATTCTCTTTAAGTTTTCCAAAGAGAACTAATTTGTTTCTAATGCTAAACATCCATTTTTAATAAGGATCATAGGTCCTGGAGTTTTTTCTCTTCTATATCTCCTTAATGTGGAGGCTATTCTTCAAACATAAGTAGTTCTGTGTGCAGTAGAACTCCTGCCTAAACTCCCCTTCTTGTATCTGATAGGCTGCATGCTCTGATCTAGCCATATGTGGCAGCTGAAGCATACATTATATGCTGGTTCTATGCTGTCTAATATCATAGATGAGCTCACTGGTGAATTTGTCTCCACTACCTGGCCAAGTATTTTCACCACATGTAACAGCTGAGACATCTACCCTTCTACCAAATCTGATGCTTAAAAAATGGGATAAATCTCCCTAAGAATTACAGGGGGGAGGGGGAAAGGGAAGACCATGAAGAAGAACAACGAGAAACTTTTAAAGAAAGTGGAGGAACAGAATTTTAGGACCACAAAACTATGTACAGAAATGTCTTTGATTACACAGGAAAGATTTCCATGGAACAAACGTAAAACTATAAATTAAAATACCCCTTTTCTAGTCTTTCAGGATGTAAACGAAGTATGATGGACTTGCTGGGCTTCAACTATTTTAGGCTTACATACTTCAAAGAAGTTCCAGTTTTTCTAGAGAACCACGTAAACAGTTTGTGTTAATTAACAGAGATAGAGTTGACAGTGCAGTCACGTGCACAATAGAAACCGAGAATTAAGGGATTAAGAAAACATAAAATGTTCCAAAATCTCACGGTATCACCCTTTTAATTCAAAAATTACAATTCAAGATTTGGGGATATTTACTAGCAATTTTTAAATATTGGGGGGGTGACAATACTATGATTATACAAGATATTGTCAAAGGCATGGAATAAATCTGTTGCAGAATTATGCTTGATCACTAACTTCACTCAGTTCTAATAATCCTAACAGTCCTAGTCAGTTCGACACACGTGTTTCTTGTTATGTCTGTTTGCTTTTCAGTCGGTTTCCCACACATTAAGCCAGACTGTAGGCCTCAGGAGGGAGTTACTTGCTCCTCTAAGCTGCTATGAGTCACTGCAATGTCTGCTGAGTAGGACAAATTAAGCTTGAATTTCTTGCTTCCATGAGGCAGCAAGAACAATAAGGAAAAGCATGGCAAATAGGTGAGAAAAGATCAAAAAGCCAGTAATCCTCTCACTTAATATTTGTGCCTTCCTGTTACAGCTGTCCTATTGCACGCGGATGAAGGAAGTAAATCAAAGACTTAAAACTGTGAGAAAGAACACAGTATTCTGAATTTCAAATTATCAGTGTTAAATACTAATTACATTATACCTGAAATACTAATTTCTCATGATGAATGAAAAAAAGCTAGGCTACCTCATAAAAAATACATACATATTCTTGTACTATGTTAGAATTACAAAGGATATGTCCACTGATTTCTCTTGGAAATGAAATCCCTGTGTAAACACATCAGCATAGTTATGACAGATGTATTTTGTTTAACTCTAAAATAAAGCTGTGCTAAATGAATAATTATTTAATAATTTAGCTTATTATCATTATTTGTATACAGACTCCTATTGCTTTGGTAGATGAAACTCCTAATTACAGAAATTAAATTGCTAATGTAAAAAATCATTGACTGCAAGTTAAAATATGGCATGTTAACACTGCTTTATGTTACAGACAATCATCTGTTCAGGAAAATCAAGGGCAGGAGACTGGAATCACAAAGATCCTTGCCATAGACAATTTTAAAACTTGATTCTGAAATCAAGAACTTTTTGTTTGATCTTAGCTGTTGGGACAGGATGCTGTGGTGAGAAATGGGATTTCAGATGATTGTTTGAGACCTGTCCAAGTTTAATGAGCAACATCAGCCTGCTTTCAATGATAAGAAATGTTTTTTTTTTTTTTTAAGAAATTCACTGGAGGCTGGGGAGGAAATTTGGGCAAGAAGGGCCATGAGAGGAAATGTCAGTATACACATGCACTTTGCATGTCATAGAGAAGATACAGAGTTTAGAAGTAATGTTGCATTGCCACTTCCTATTTCTTCAAAAAAATCTAGAAATCAGACCAATCTTGAATACAAGCTCTGGTTTTTGAATTATATCTGCACCATTCATATGATCAGTACCATCTCTCACTTGCAGCAGACATAGTCATCCTAGTACCTGGAAAAGCAGATGTAAGTGATGCATCATATGGCAACTTAGAACGGCTTGCAGTGTCCCTGCTGCCATCACTGCCTCCTGGGCATTCATGGATATTAACAGAGCCAGAAGAAATACAAACCTGCTAACCGCTGAGGTACATCTATAACATGCCCTTAACACATGCCCTGTGTGCAAACACAGTCTTTGCCTCTTTTCTTTAAAAGCAACACTGTCTCTCATCCTAGCTGGTGACTCTCATCCTAGCTGAATCACCAGCTTTTTTTTTTCCGGTCACTCTCTCTATCACACACCAGGTGACTAATGCACTGCAGCGTCTGGACTGTGTAAAAATTTGACTTAGCAAACTAACCATCAGCATGCTGATGGCGCTGCCAACCACAATATCTCAGTAACAAACAGTAACAATGTACATGGGCTCTATGCCAATCTGACCTTCCTATTCAAATTTCTGGAAAGCATGACCTAATATCTCTACAAGTAATAGAATCTGGAGCTTTTGTTCATTCAGTTTCTTTTCCTTTCTTTATTTCAGACATGTTTTTGTCACCGATGATTACAGTCAAAACAGGAGAAAAATATTTATCTGGGGAAAATAAAATACTGCAAGCATATACTCTATAATAAAAATTTAAGCGTAGCAGAAAGAGACTCTAGAAATCCTTGTTAACAGCTGAATACCTTATTGATGCAAATACTGTCCTGGCCATCTAGTAATAGCCTCTCACACCTCAGATTGGAAGGAAGCACTGTGAATCAGCCCCTTCTGTCTATATTACATAAATGCTGTTCTTGTCAAACCTGGAGGAAAAGTAGTATTCTGAATCTTCCAACAACTTCTATACTTCCAGTATCATGCCCACTTTATAAAAAAGAAAATGAAGGGAGAGAGAGCCGACGAAAGGAGGAGAAAAAAATAATACACTGAATAACATAAAAGGATAGCCACTACGATTGGAAAGCTAATCATACACCACCAGCATACACAACTTCTCATAGCGAGGTAGTACAAGAACTTTTTCTTTTAATCCTACATAATCCTTTATATGTGGTATTTTCTAAAGTCTCCAGGAGCATGAAGAACAGACAACCCATTGGCTTCCATTTCAATTTTTTGGACAATTCCACAATTTATGACTAATATATGAGTAAGAAGGACATCCTGATTGATATTTAAGAACAGAAATTTGAAACAGTTACAGTAGCTACAATAACTACTTTTTCACTTGTAAATATGTTACAGAAGTATTTGTCTAAATAACAAAAGCAGACCTTAGGAAGAAACATTTTTCTTTGGAGAGCTTATCAGATAATTTGTTAGTTTTGGGCTCCAGACATACCCTCTCATGTATTCGTTATAAAATAAGATACATGGATAGCTATAAAAGTGATGTGGGTGGATATGAGTGTATACCCTATGTTTATACCCAAGTTGCAAAGTTGGTATTAATTACTTTAATTCTGGACTTAACAGTGTGACATTGCCTAAACAAAATCAAGCGCACGGGACTAGAATCTACCAGAATCACTATGCCCCACGTTCTAAGCCAAGAAAGGAGGAGTGAAGTTTTCCATTTGTTCTGTGTTCTGTCCATCGTTTGAATAGAAAGAACGCCCAGCAGAAAAGGGTAATCCAATATATCACTTCTTTCCTCATGACATTTATGTATGTAAGCATTTAGATTCCAACACAAATTCAACCATTTACATTTAGAAAACTACATGCTTATCAGGTCACAGTAAACAACATATCCCAAAAATAAAAGGTCTGTTTTTCCAGATAAGACAATACAGTGGCTTATCACTACGTTTCTATACTAAACAATATAAAAAAAAAATCTCAGAGACGGATTTCTGGAAACGTTCACCTCTGTTTTACCTGCTTCTGTGTACTTTAATCCTACTTTTCCTTCTTCATGCTGTGCTTTTGGTGGTGGCCACACAGTCTGGAGTCTCCCTGGAGTCTTATCATCTTGCTCTGAGGGACTCAGGTCAGGCTGTTAAAATCACGCAAGAAAAAATTAGCATCTGCAAAATCAATCCATTTTAAAACAGCAACTGCCATGCTCAACTCAACAGGTACTTTCTAGAATAGTTATCTCTCATTCTACTGATTCAAATAACTTCCAGTCAGTTAGGAGGGATACAGAAAATTTAGTGTAGAAAAATACTTTTGAGAAGGAACATATCATAATGCATGTCACATGCAATGTTTTGTTGAAACTGCTCTTATCAGTATGGAAAGCTGTCTATCTTCTTGTGAACCAAACAGGCTAGGAACACTATTTTTCTCCCCTGTGTATCTTTGCTCAGAGTGAGAAGAGCTATCTGTGCTCCACTTACATGTAAACATTAGTGGGGTCCACCTAAGATGTCATTTGACAACACAATCCCCTGGAAGCAGGGCTGGCTCAAGACATTCCTGCCCCTCCCCCTGGTAGGTAGCTCAGTCCGCAGACCACTTTGTACTGCCACAACAATGCGCTGATGCAACTGCTGATGGCACCGCACTGTCAACTGGAACCTTGAAGTACTGCTTAAAATGGCAAAAACACTAAGCAAGCATTTCTTTAGCGGTTTATTTTTTTTCTCCTTTTAATCCAGAACACTTCCATAATCTGATTTGCAACATGCCACTACCAACAACTGCATGGACGCAACTGAAGCACACCAGCAAAACGCTGCTATGAAAGTGTTCATAAATGGACCAAGGGGGCAAGGAAAAGGAAAGGCAAGTTCTTTTTCCTCTGGCTTTGCCCTCATAAAATGCAGATTTGAACTAGACCCTTGCGCAACAGTATGATGTACTTACAAAAAATTTAAAAGCAGACATTCAAAAAAGCCACTCATACTGACTCCTGCGCTTCCTCCTTCACCACGCGTGATGAATCAGACCAGCTTCCCAACTAGGTTCACCAGCAGCTATGGAAACACTTACACCAGCAGAGCGCAGGGTATGGTGTAAGCAAGAATAAGCAACCCAGGAATGGGAATGGCAGAGACCAACTGTAATTGCGGTACATGCCACAGCCAGTGAGTACCTATTTTCTCCTGCCCATAGGTAGTTCACGTTAAATTGGTATTATCGGTCTCCTCAGGTGTCAGTCAAGATGCTTAAAAATTTTTAAATTCATATTAAAAAAAAAATGAGTACATACAAATGAAAACAGCAAATTAACTTATGTAGCTTCAGGTTTAGGGTCCAAGCCTGTACCATTTAATCATTCAGGCAATTCTCCCTTTAGCCAACAAGAGCAATCTTATGAATTAAGTATATCTGCCAAAGATGTAACTCTAGGAATTTGGATTTGGGGAGCACGAAGGGTTACTCATTTAATTAAAGAGTTCAAATTGCATTCAAAATCATTCTCACTGTGGTTTTATAAAATCTTAGCATAATTTTTTTTTCTTTTCTCAAAAGTATACATATAGAAATCACAGCGCATTAGACTATTAACCTTGCAAATACTTAATATTAAGTCAAAACTTGAGTTGTCTAACTGGAATCATTGAAGTATACTCGGGTAACGGTGAATGCTTATCAATACTTATAAAGCCAGATACACGTATACAAATGAGGAAAAAATACTTTCTTGGACAAATTATATTGAAAGTCATTCATTACTTGTTGCATCAGCTCTTATCATAGAATTATTCCTAAAGGTAAAATGAAATATCACTTTAAAAAAACACTGACAGAAAGCAGAGAGACAGATAGAATATGAAATAAGATTACAGTAAATATTTGCAGCACAAAGCTAATTTTAAGCCATATGTAACTATGGAGAACTGTTTTGTAGCAATATTTTAAGATCAGACATGTATTTTTAAGTTCTTTTAATTCAAAAGTTATGATTACCACTCATTTTCAGTGAATTGATCTAGAACCGATGAAAATACTTAAATTTGGAATCCAAAATTTGAGATTTCCAAAAATAGAGGAAAATTCCAATATTTTCATTATAAGTTCCCAACATCATTGTTAAACAGAAAAAAAAAATCATATTCATCTACTTCCAGATCTTATGAAGAAAAAGTAATTCAACCTACAGATTTGTCTGTTGGTCCGTCCCCAGGTTTTGATTTTGACCTTTCAAATACAGCTTTCAGAGACTCTTTTTCATTTCTCATTTTGCGTTTTATGGCTTCCAGCTCTGAAGGATCTGCAGTTGTTTCTTTTTTGGGAGGCCGTGAGAATAAAGCTTTAAAGACATCCAGTGCAGATTCAGCAGGGCTTGATTTTATTTCCTCAGAGGGAAAATGTGGTTCTGTTTTGCCAGAGGCTTTGTTCTCTTGAGCTTCATCACTGTCCTCAGTCTCACCGGATCCCTCACCAGAATCTTCTGCTTTCTCTTCGTTCTTGGAGACATCTATGTTTAACAAGTGAGAGAGTTGTTCCAGGAAAGTAGGAGTTGTTTTAAGTTCAGCTGATTTTTTTTTAGTGGTCAAACCTGACGTAATACTGGATTTCTTAACAGGCTGTCGTAATTTAAGCAGAGCTAAATCATCCTCCTTTGGTTTAATTTCTGTAACAGTCTCCCCATCTTCTGCAGTTACTCCTTTTTTCCTCACGCGTAGTCCACTAAAGAAAGCGGGCAGCTGAAATGTCTTTTCAGTCAATGCTGTTTTTTGGAGAGAAGTATTATTGGCTGAAGGTCTTTGTTCTTCATCTGAAAGTTCTTGAGGGCTTTTCCCTATAGCAAGCAAGTGACTTAAGTGCTCATCCATTAACATCTTGTCTTTCCCTTTGGAGTCGTGCTCCAGAATATTACCCAGCCCTGCTGGGAGCTGCTCAGAAAGTGGTGGGCGTAACTCAATTTCATTGCTATTCACAGTGTCATCAGTATCGCTGTACCCTTCTGATTCTGACTCTTCCATATTTTGATTGTTATTGTCCAACGCCTCAGCAGAGAAAGCGGCATTATTCAGCACAGATTTGACAGTTTTGTTTTCATCAGTGCCTAGGTCCTTGCTCTCGCTGTCTGACTCTGTATCACTTGTTGTATGAACCAAAGTACCTCGTACAAGAATAGCATCCTTGTCATCATTGTCAGATTCAGACAAAGAAGTCTGTACAAACCTTAAATGTTGACCAAGTAATGCATTCTGCTCAGCTAACTCCAGTTCCAGGTCAGTCTGGCTGCAAAGCATTGGTTCAGCTTGCCCACTGGTACTACTCACTCTGTGCTGATTTTCTGAGTCGTCATCACTGTCATTATCATTCCTCTCATACTGGTTGTCAGCATGAGCATTTATACTGGTGAGCAAAGGGTGAAATGCTTTAAGCACTGTTTCTTCTTTGGAAGTTGATTCCAATTTAGTTGTAAATCCAAGACGTGTTCTCACAGAAAATGTAGTGAAAAGATCAGGTTCACTTTCTGCTGTATTCTCCAGGTCTGAAAGCTCTCCACAATCAAGTGCTGCGTTTTCTTCTTCCATGTCGAGTGAAACACAGAATAGTTTTACTTCTGCTAGTGTTACTATCTGCTATACAAACATTCAGCATTTGTTTATTATATGCATTCAGTCTATGAATTTACTACAGGAAATGCAACAAGCGAGTGAGCTATCCTCTATACTGTGAAGGAAGCCAGTCTCCCTCTGATCACAGTACCCCTCCTTCCGGTTTTCAGTGCTGCAGTTATTAACCAGAAGGGTCCATCAAATCTCAAAACTCTGCTTCAAGAGAAATGAAAAGACGCACCGTATAAAAGTTCTCAGCAGCTTCAGTTCTTGTTCCTTTGCACAAAGGGCTTTTTGTCACAGCAAATATGCCAGCACACTAATCTCAGTTGAAAATTCAACCAATGATTGCTGTCCCAGTTCCTGCAATTCTACTGGTTACACACAACTTCCTACTTGCTAAAAAGTGCACAGCAACTATATAAACAAGTCTCCCGATGAGAACAGTAGGCATTTATAGCTTGCTACTTCCTTATACCAGTATATGAGTTCTGAATGTTTGTCAGCAGAAAATTCCTGAAGAATTCTTTCACATAATCTTCCACTTTCATAAAGGTCTTCTTCTGTAAATCCATCGTCAGAAAAAAAATGGAAAACGAAAATCCAAACAAAGTAATATTTCTGAAGCTTCCACTGAAATTACACAGAGCTCCTGCAGCGTTCTGAATTCTCAGCTGGCCAAAGTAAACTAGACTGAATGCCCTTGAAGCTGAATAAAGCAAAACAAAATAAGGCTCTCCTCCGATTTGCTGCAGGTTTCATCTGGAATGCAGATTTCAGCCTCCAGGGCCCAGCACAAAAACCAACAAGACTGGTTTCATATTACTACTGTCCTTACTCTGCACAACTATTTCTGTGAACTATAAACAGGTACTTATCAAAGGCTTTCACCACACCCAGTGATTAGAAACTGTTTGGGTGGGCAGGGTAAACAGCCAAAGCTCAGAAATAAGAAGTTAACTGTGTAGAGATCAGGCAGATTTTTCGTTCATCTGCACTGTATCCCAAGCTTGCAGTATTTCAAAATGAAAAAATATCCACTGAGATATTGTTTGATAACTTTCACCCATCTATTGCCTAGATAATGCTGTACGTGCAAAATCGCTTTTAATTAATATCGTTGAAGTCACTGGAAGGAAATCTTCAAGTCTGTATATCTCAACATGGACAGAAGCTGTCAGAGGTAACATATAATTTTTTTCTTAACACACATATAAAGAACGTGCAAAATACTCTTAGGCATATTTGATATTTAGGAAGTCATTAACATTTAGGTCAAGGGTCAGTCAAATGTCTTCACTTTTGTTCCTTTTCTTATTTATGGACCTATAAAGACTGCAAATCTGCAAGAACTTGGAATCTCCTTATTCCTTGGCCATTCAGGTGTTTCTTTAGCCAGATTTCCACATTATCATCTTAGAAATTCAAATATATTAATTCTCTGTTTTGCACCCAAGTTAGAGGCTCATTCAGCAGCTAGCCATTTAGCTGTGAAGAGTAATCATAAGCAATGATTGCAATGCTGTAAGCTCGC